GGCGGATCCAGAGCCGCCGAAGTGGTTCGGTGATGTGTCATGGAGTATCTGCCGGCGCGGAACTCCAGTGGATGAGCTAGAGCTCAAGGACGTGATAGGCACGCTATCCGACAAGGATATGTTGCGCTATCAAAGCTCATACGAGAAGCTGGTGAAGCCCATCCAGGAGGTGTGTGAGCTACAGGAGAAACCCACGAAGATCTTCGGAATCTTGGATGTCCGTGGACAGATTGGTGGCAAGGCCATCATCTGGGAGATGGCAGTGAATGAAGGAGGACTGTACATGGAAGTGCCGCCGGGAATGTGTGGCCTGGCGATGTTGAGCTTCGTGAGGTACTTGAAGAGAAAAGGGATAATCCCTGTTTTGCTTCTGGGTGAGCACCAGGACCTCGGAGTCTTGCGGATGGTGGATCTGTTGTGCATGCTACCCATTTTGGGAGCAGAGAGGATCATGGAGGATGAAGCTGAGAGCTCGTATTATCCCCCATGGGTGTTGCGCTGGAAGAGAAGTGCAAAGGAAGGATCCTTGGTGTTTAAGGAACTGGTGGAGCGAGTGCGAGTGATTTCGATGTTGTCGTGTGATACACTTCGGATTCACGAGCCGGAGCTGAGGGAGAGACCAGTCCCCAAGTGGTCGTTTGTGGCCTACAGCCACTACAGATCCGTGATGGAGTCTGTTGCAGGATTCTTGGAGGACCTGGAGAAAAAGAAAGAGGAGATCACCGACACGCAGAGGGCGGCAAGCTGGAAGAAGGTGGTTGCGAGTGAGACTCGAAGCGGTGTTGTGTGGATCTGCAAGTGTAAGTGGCACTTGCCGACCGACTATGTGGTGAGGTTCAACTTGACGTTGCCTGCCGACATGTGGCAGCAAGCCTTTGGGATCATGGGTGAGAATGTTGGGAAACTCGAGAAGGAGGAAAAGGACCTGAAGCGGATCCTCAAGGCTGCAGCGGAACAGCAAGACCGAGAGTTCGAGGAAGCTGAGCGAAAGCGCAAGCGCATCGCCGACCTGTCAGCTGCCGAGGAAGAAGCTGCTAAGAGAGCAAAGCTGGAAGGCGAAGCGGTTCGCTCGCCTGTGTCAGTTGTACCATCTGAGTTGGATGCAGCAGCTATCGCGCAGATTGCTGAGCGTGTGAAGGCAAGCTCTAGTGTTGCCGATTTGGAGCTGATGTTGGAAGAGAAGAAGAGAAAGGTTGGAGACCAGCCAACTGAGAGGCCTGCGGAGACGCCAGCTGAGCCTAGCCGATCTTCGCAGGATGTGGTGATGGAAAAGAGGACGGCTGAGTTGGCGGAGATGAAGGAAGCCGCCAAGGAGCGCCGCGCCAAGTTGATGGAGTCAACTGGAGCTGGCGAGAAGAAGGGCGAAGAGGATGAAGAATGAACTGAGATGCTAAGTGATCTCAGTGGTTGGGTGGGTGAGTGAAACCCGCAGCCATTTTTTGGAAGCCATGGCCGCGTTGCCGCCATGGAGCGCCCGCGATTTTTCTGGTTAGTGTGAGCCCTTGTTTCAGTGCATGAGAAGTTTGCAAAGAGGAGGCAAAATGATGATGAAACTCAACGAGGGACTCTATAGCCCCTTCTGCAAGGCGTCTGATTGCCACCTCTGAAGACGTTTTTGGCTGATGGTACGCTGGAAGAAGCGAAACTATGAAGCCAATCTTTTCTTGAAGGATCAGCTAGCCGATGCTAGTTGGTGAGTTTGGTGACCTGGAAGATGCGAGACTGAGGAGGAGTACCACGACAAGGTCGAGTGCTGAGTGGGAAACATCTGAAGCTTGCATTAATTCGTTTTCACGTGTTTGTCACCACGAACTCTTGGATTCGTTCCAAGACAACCCTGCCCCAGTGCAGGTGGATGCAAGTTTAATTCGTTTTTCACGTGTTTGGACAACGAACTCTTGGGTTACCAGTGATGTGGACCCAGGACAACCTGCCTGATGGTGGGATCTTGCATGAGTTTTAAGTTTGATGTCAGAGATCGACTGGTGTGTTGTTTGTTTCGTTTGGTGGCGAGTACGCACCAAGGGAATGTGGCCAGGGCATCCCCTTAGTGTTGAAGTGCCGAGCTGGGCTTGGACTTCAGATCTTTGACATGAACCCTCAGCAAAATGCGGGGGGTGGAAGATTGTGGCTGATCAGTGATGTTTTTGTCATGTTTTGGATCAGCTTGTATAGGTTTGTTTTGCTTCGGAGTGATTGGGAATCCGTGTGATCCCATCCTCGATGGTTTATGCCTCGTTGATTTCCAAGGAAATCATACGAGTGTGTTTTTGCCCAATACGCTATTTAAAGTGAGTGTGCAGTGTGTAGGAACTTCGTTCTGAAGCTGAGTTTAAGCTCACAAGAGAGAATTCGTTTAGTTTGTGCACTTCGTGACTTTTGGCTCAAGTGGCTCTGACTGTGAAAAAGAGAGAGCTGTCCGCACTTGTGTGAGAGGTCAGGGTTCGTGCTTTCAAGGGAAAAGGTACCAGAGGGACCTTCGTTTTTTCACGCAAGAGCTCCAAGGCTAAGGAAGTGTTCGGCTTTGAAGTGGCAATTAAGGGTTTAGAGTTGCGGGGGCTTGTTTGCGGGGGCTTGCTTGCGGGGCTTACGTGTTTCAAATGGAACCAGTTTGTAAACCTTTCTTGCCGTCCAGTGGTTCGTTTTGCAAGTTGTGGGCGGTTGCCGACCTGCCGGGTAAGGGTTCTTTGGATTTCATCAGAGCTTTCCTCTCAACAGATTGCAAAGGTAAGCTCCTTGTTGCCTTTTTCCTGCCAGAAAACCTTTCGAAGTCTTTCGCTTGGTATTAGTAAAGGAGCACGGGAAGATACCAAAAGCTAGTTCACTTCCTTCTTCATTCATATCATTCACATGCTTTGTTAATATTATTATGGGCAATGATAAGCGCGCCGTAATTCTGGTAATAACGTAAAGTGAATTAGAATGAAGAAGAAAAGAATGAAGTGAATGAAGAAAAGCCCAGTTAAAATTTACTTGGGCGGATTCATGGGCAAGTTCATGAGTCTTGTGGTGGTTATACTGAACCTGACATTGAAAGACTCATGATGGTACGGTTTTTAGGGGCGGTTCCTTGTGTATGATTCGTGAACGGGTTCCAAAGTTTTCCTGGAAAAGTCGGAGGTCGCAGAATGTTTCGGACCTCCTGAGGCTGAGGGAAATCCAACGCGACCCAAGAACTGCAGAACGTTTCTGCGGCAGGTGTCGACTCCCTTGATTTTGTGCTCCGGCACGACCTCTTAGTTGAAGTCGATTGCGTCAGAGCTAGGAATCGAAGTCGTAGCTCAGCGGACGAGGGAAGTGGAATGAAGTGGAATAGTAGTGGAATGAAGTGGCGTCGAAAAAACTGAATCGTCTTCGAGGGAAGAAAATCTTGAAAGACAGTCGTGGGATCGATTGGAGGTTTCCAGATTCCACTATCTTTTTACAGCGGAGTCTGACAGGTGGAGGTCTTGTCAAGTCACATGTGATGTGCGATTATGTTCCTGCAGTCGATTACTGGAAGTCGACTTGCCGTAGACCACCGTGGCTAAGACATCCAATGTAATCAAACAAATCATGAGACTTTTTGTGGTTGCCGATTAGACCTGAGACCTCCCGTTTTTGACCATGCAAAAGTGCGCACCACCCGCCCGGGCCACCAGAACCAGCTACGAGGCTTCCACGACGAGATGAAGCGGCGCCGCTCAACGGCAGGGACCGGCGCAAGCGGTCGGGAAACTCAGAGGAACGCAGCTGGGGGAACATAGAATCAGAAAGATAGGTTGCCCAGGTTTTCGATGGATGAGAAATTTTGCATCAGCTTGTGGGAGCTATGTCACGGGGGGAAAAGTTTTTCTGGCGAATCTGTGGACATTTCAAAAAGCACCAGGTCATGGTCAACTCTTCGAGTGGAAAGGGGTGAGAGGGGCTCGTCGAGAGCTAGATTGCCACTTCGTTTTGTTCAGTCTCGTGCTGTTTGTTCAAAAGAGCAGTTTTATATATTCATATGACATGTTGTTCTAGACGGCAGTGGCAAACAATCAATAAGAAAACGATTTGAAAGGCGAGATCAATCTTGAAGTTGGCATCTATTTGTTACACGTCTTAAGCAGATGAGGTGCTAGAGGGTTTTTGCTTTTTGGAAAATCTTTACATGGGTGTGTAGCCATGTGCAGGTGGATCGCAGGTGCCACATACGCAAGAGACGGCAGAGGATGTGGTTGTGAAGGCTAGATGGGCAGATTTTGGATGACTTTCAATCTTAAGGATTGAAAAGGACCAGCTACCGTAACAACCCAGTGAAGGAGTTCAAGCCGCAGCAAAGCACATTGAGCAAAGGATCTTGTTTGCCCAGCAAGCATAGAAACAGCATGAACTGACGATCACAAACCGAAACGCTGCCTAAACTGGTGAGTTTTTTGAGGCAACTTGCATGTAGTGTTTTGGGTGTGAAGCACGTGATTCTTTAAATGACCAGCTGGTGAACGAAACAATGGATGGCTACACTTTTTGCTTTGATTGCCAAATCGCAACATCGTTGTATTCATGTATCTTGAATGCAAGCATGAGAATATAGCAGGGACCGATGTCATCCTGCAACCCATTCTCGTGGTGTGTTCCGTGGAAAACCAGCGCCGACCAGCGGCCCTAGTGTGAAGCAGTTTAAAGAGATGTGTATGTTTATGTTCGGATGGCCATGCAATTCCGATGTCAAAGTGTGGCCACAAGACCAAATCCTTGCACATGGACATCATGGCATGACTGTCGTTTGGGTTCCAGCTAGCAGTAGCATTTGTTGCCTCGCGCGCCGTGCTGAGCGAAGCATGGGCGCTGGGGGCAAGGGCAAAAACAAGGGCAAAAGTACAAAAGGCAGCTCAGCCTAAATCAGCTGCAATGTGTGCTGGCCACGGATCCGAAGGGGTTGTTTCTGCCCGGCAGGCAAAAGCTACGCAAGCAAGGGGGCCGGGAGTGGAGGCCAATAGGAGACGTGCTGTAGTCGTAGTCATGCCACACAGGTTCGCATGTGTGCTGTTGTTCGAGGTTCTTCCGGCTACAACAATGGCTACAAGAATGGCTACAACAATGGCTACAATGGACACACCGGTGGCTACGGCTACAATGGGTACAGCCGATCAGCTCCAAGTTCACGATGGGCTTCTTCCAACAATAGCAGCAACACTGATGACAGCCGACGGTTCATCCAAAAGCTCTCTCAAAGCAAGGGTGGCACAGCTGCACCGAGAACTGAGTTAGAGATGAAAGCTTCTTTCGACGTCCGATTGAAAGGTGACCAGTTGACGCGACAGATTCTTGAATGCAAAGACCAGTGGCAGCAATGCTGGGGTGCTGCTGCCGATTTGCGGCCAGAGGAGGGCATTGTTGTTTCTCAAGCTCGTGTAGTTGTTTCAGGTGCTGGTGCTATTGAACCCGTAGAGAGAGCATGAACTTTGAAGGCGGTGAAAAGCCTCGTGATGATTCTTTGCAAGATTCCACCATCGGCTTCTCCTCCGCCGCCCCCAGCAGGGGCGTGACCACCGGCTGCAACTCATGATGGAATGTGCAAGCTCTGTCGGGGTTTTGTGTGTCTGACAAGGAAGTTTTGTGCATGCAGCCGTGCAGCCACCTTTTTTGCGAGTGGGCCGCGGTCTGTGTGTGTGTGTGTGTGTGTGTGAGGCCAAGCGGCAGTGAAGCGGTTCCTCGACGCGGAGAAGGGAGGTCGCTCAGACTTGGTCGTGATTTCATTCGTCTGATTTCCATTTTTTGGGCAGTTGTTTTTCAGACCAGACCTTCTGGATAGCACGGGACAACTTGCAGGTTTGCCAGAAGATGCTGTGGCTGCTGTGGAGGCGCATCTGTCGAGATTCAATCGAAAGTTGCCTCATGTTGCCTCGCTCTCTGGCTCTCTCGCAACAGCCTGGTCCCTCTTTGCAGGCCCTGTCCCGCTCCCTTCAAGCTAGCTTTCAAGTGCCTGGGAAGGTGGTCATCAATGCCGTGAGAAAGCTGCTCACGCTGGAGTGGGACGTGTCTCAGGATGAGGCACAGGGGACCCAGAGCATTCCAGGCAGCTTATGGGATGGCAGGCTCCCTCACCTCTTCAGCAATCAGTCCCGGTCAAATATTGAATAATCAGCTAGTGTTGTCAGCAGTGGGAGCCATATTGGCGTGCGCTCTCATCCGCCTGACTGAGCACTTTTGGCAATGTACTCGTACTGAGCTATAGTCTTGTTCAGCTTGAGCCCCATTGTCAGGTCAGGGATTCCCTGCTCAGCATTCTGGAAGATGCCGCGGCCTCTGAGCAATTGAACGCGTTGTCTGCAATGCAGCCATAGCTGATGCGAAATTGAAACCCCAAAGCCCGCAGACTCCAGCACCAGGCAAGCGGTTGCTTGCAGATCCGTCACAAGGATGACGGCGTGTCTCATCACCCAAATGCTGAGAGAGCAGACCGCGTTGTTGTAAGCTTTCTGGACATGGGTGTGTCAATGTGAGAGGACCACAAGGAAGCCAACAAAAGGACAGACTGTTCTCTTCAGCATTCTATTCACCTTAGTTGTACGCGTGTGATGTGGAGGATTTTTGGAATGCCAAGTGGATTTGAGATTTGAAATGTTTTGAAAGGATTATGGACATCATGGACGAGCTTGAGAAGCCCTGGTGCATCAAACTGAAGCCGACAGCTGGAAACACGGCAGAGAATGCTGAGGAGAGCTTTCGAGCCGGCGTTTGGGGTTGTCAAAGCACGCGAGAGCACCGAAAGCATCGAAAGCACCGGCAGCATCGAAACCACAGGAAGCACGGAAAGCAGAAAGCGCGGCAAGCGCGGAAAGATGAAATTGTCGTTGCAGGAGAGAGAGGGGCAAGACAGGAAGGAGATCTTCAGCAATTGGCGCCATGCCACAGTGGGATGGCTTTCCCGGCCCGAGATGTTCTGCCCGGCAACACTTCCGAAGATGCAGACTGCCAAGTCCAAGCAGCGTGGAGTCTATGTCTGGGACTTTCTTTTGCCAATCAAATGCATCATTTCTGTGTTCGAGTGGCACAAAGTGCAGGTTTGCTGACTTTGCTGAGGCCACGCGCGAAGAGTACATGGACACAATTGAAAAGCTGATGGTTGGCATGACTTTCAGCGACGGAAATGCTGCCATTTCCCCGCGATGTTGGGTCAAGGATTGGGTTGGGCATTTCGCGACTCATGTTGAGCTAAGTTGTGATTCCGACTGCCATTTGCAAAGCTTTTGTCCTGCTTGCAGGATTGTGGCTCTACTCTTTGGCCGATACCTGAACCCATGGGTCTTCACTGCCGGACACGCGACTTGTCGCAGATTGTTGTGCGGTGTTTTCAAGCTACGCTCGGCACGCAGGGCACTGCGGCAGTTTAGGTGTTCCCGGTTCTTGTTTCGGATTTCGTGGCTCATCTTTTTGGTTTTCTCTTGGATCAAAGGCGGCTGTTCGCGGCCCGTCGTCTTGGCATGCAGCAACAACAAGCACGACTCGGGCATGTGCAAGAAATGTGCTGCGGACAACACGCAGCAACTTCTGGGTCGTAAAGGTGGGGCATTTGTGGGGCCGAGAAGTGTTTTTGTGAGACAGCCCTGATGAGGTCCAAGAGCCTCCACCCACGTCTATGATTGTGTTCTGAGCCGTGTTGGATTTGATGGAAGGCGGAGTTTGGGCAAGGTCTTTGTAGTCGAATGCGGCCTTTGAGACTTTGATACCATCTTGACGCCAGACTGTACTTCGAGAACCTGGAATCGCGCAGTCCGCCGCAAATGAATATCCACTGGCGAACGACGAGACGTTTGCAGAGCCCGAACCTTGTTGCTCTTGTGAGGCTCACAGAACAAGGCGCCTGTGCGCATTGTTGAAGCCACAGTGGCCTAAAGGCCCCACATGCGCTAGGCCCCAACTACTCTGTGGCTTCATGCGATGTGGGCCAAGCATTCGATGAAGCTTACCGTCAGATGCGCCTGCCAGGTGCGGCGCTCAAGTCATCCGATCGCATCTACTGGGGAGAGGTTTCCCACCACCCTCCTCATGGAGGAAAACCCCAGGACGAAGCTCGCAACAGAGAGAACGGCTATCTGGCCGTGAACGTGTCGTCCATTGCCGGGTTCGAGGAGGATGCATTCACGGAGGGGGATTCCACTGCCATTATCGACTGCATGACCTTCGTCCCTGAGTACATTCCCGTCTTGAAGGCCTGACCCTGAGTATTGGAATGTTGAATGCAACCCAGAGTTACACCTGCATCACCACAACGACAGGAAAGGGGAATGGTCACACTTATCAAAGAAAGCACAAGGAAGCATAGTCAAGCATAGTCAGGGTAGGAATGGTACGATATGGTACGACTTATGCCCCGCAGCCTCGAAGGCGCTTGAGAAGCAGAGGCAGGGGCAGATGCCATTTGAGGCCAGTGCACGCGTCATAGTCTCGTGCGTGCTCAAGTGGGTGCCGGAGCAAGCGAAGTGTCTCACATTGTTTCACTATGCTGAGGATGGAGCTCTGCTGAATCTTTGTTCTTGGCACAGACCAGACCTTGGCAACTTGCTGGATCCCGATGCAGATCTCAGCAACTATCGCCTTTTGGTGGAGTCCATGGTGGAAGAGAGCAACTTGCTCCCAATCATGGCTGTCCGCCGAGATCCTGTTCTGTCGGAGAAGCCGCTTGGCATTGCTTGGCCCTCACGTGGCTCGCGCTTTAGTCCGGCAGTGCCTTGAGACGAGCTTTAGATGCGAAATAGGCCACTATGCTTTGCCACATATCTGCTCAGCAGGATGTGCGAAGATTTGGTGGTGCTTCTGAAAGAAACCACCCTGGACGAGGGACAGTTGCGGAGCTTCATCGATGGCCTGAAGAGCCCAGTGCACTTGACTCAAGGACCACCTGGGACAGGAAAGTCTTACCTTGGCGTGGTCATGGTGCGTGCGCTGATGATTGTTCGCAAGTTCTGGGTCAAGGTGGATGAATCCGTCGGCACTCCACCT